TTTGATGGAGGGACACAGAGTTCCTCCGCAAAAAAGTAAGTAGCTAAGTGATAAGCGCTAATTAAGATAGACATTACTAAATGGATAGGATGATATCATTAAGATTAAAGAATAGAAAGGGCTACTTTAGATATGGTCAGTAGGAAGTGTGTAATTGAGAAAGTAACACTTGGAATGAGACCTCAAGGATTAAAGGAGTCAGTCACTCAAAGAGCTGGTGGGGGAGAGTATTACAGGCAGAGAAAATAACCTGTAATAAAATCTTTAGCCAGAAACAAGCCTGGACATTTAATGAAGAAAAATAAAACCAACGTTGCTGAAGCACAATGGGTAAGAGACAGTATACATAGATACAAAAAACATGAAGTGGGCAGGGCTCAGACTATGTAAGTGTATCAGGCTGAGCAAAAGCCTCTCAAAGATGTCCATGTCCCAATCCCCAGAACCAGTAAATATTACCCGAAATGGCAAAAAGGAATTTTGCATATTTCGTTGTGTTAAGGATTTTGAGATGGCAAGATTAGAGTGGATTATCCTACTAGGCCTGATGTAATCACAAGAGTCCTTAGATGAGGGAGGTAGGCAATCTGAATGAGTAGGAGAAAAAAGAAATAGAACATCAGAAGCAGCCTTCGGGGAGTGGCAGGCTTTGAAGATGGAAGGGACCACAAGCCACGGAACACAGGTGGCCTCTAGATGGAAAAGATAAGGAAACAGAGCCTCCCTTTGAGCCTCCCAAAGAAAAGCTTGACCTTAGCCCAGTGAAACTGACTTTGGACTTCTGGTCCCCTGAACTGTAAGAGGATAAGCTTGTGCTGTTTTAAGCCACCAAAGCTGTGGTCATTTGTTACAGCAGCCGTAGGAAACGAATACAGATTTCAGTACCTCAAAGTGGGGTGCTGCTGTAACAAATACCTAACATATGGAAGTGGCTTTGGAATTAGGCAATGGGGAGAGGTCTGAAGAATTTTGAGGACCATGACAGAAAAAGCCTAAATTGCCTTGAGAAATATTTATTGCCTTTTAGTAGAAACACAACAGGTGTTAATGATTCTGCTAGTGAGGACTGAGGGGGGGAAAAATGAGGTGCATGGTAGAAAAAAACCTATACGGTCTTAGATCTAGAAGACCTAAACAGTCATAAAGGGACCACTATGGAAACATAAATGTTAAAGGTGCTGCTGGTGAGAAGTCAGAAAGAAAGGAAGAGCAGGTTACTGGAATCCGGAGAAAGGAGATCCTTATGACCCAGTGGCAGAGGGCCTGGCTAAATTGTGTCCTTCAGTTATATGGAAATTACAGTGAACTTGGGTATTTAACTAAGGAGATTTCCAAGCAATGTGCTGAAAGGATGGCCAGGTTTCTTCATGCTATTTTTAGTAAACCTTGGGAGGAAACGGATAAATTGAGGGAAAAACTTTTAAGTAAAAAGGCACCAGGACTTCATGATTTGGAAAATCCTCAGCCTAACCAGATTGTGAATTATGTTAAAATTAGGGATTCAACGTCAAGAAAGCACACTCTGGAACCAAGGGTGCAGCTAGACATCCTTTTGCCAGTGTCTCAAAAGAACAAATATTCAGTGACACAGAGGGCTCTCTGAAGAGATTAAACATACTACTCCTGGATTTCCCCTGAACCCCAATCTGAGCAAAAGCCAAAGAAAGAGATTGAGTAATCCAAGAAAGACCTGTGGAGGAGCACCTTGTCTAAGAGAATGAATCCCGATGACATACTGAGAAGACTCACGAGGTTTTTGAGAATATTATATATAAATCCTGCCAGCTTGAACTGAAAGGGTCAAGAGGACAAAAGACAAGACTGATGGCCTAACATAATTCTACAGGCAGAAAACCGGTGCAAACATACACTAGCTTTCAGGAAAAAGGACGGATGACTCCAAGGGTAGAGTCTTAATCCCAGAGGGTGGAGCCTCACACCTCAGGGTCAAGAGCTAGACAGTGTGATTGCCAGGCCTTGAAACCTAAAGCTTTTTCCCAGTTTCAAGTTTCAAAATTGCTAAGTACCAGTGACTCCTTTCCTCCTTCCATTTTCTCACTTTCAGGATGGAAATGTCTGTAACTGTTATCCTATGCCTGTTCCATCATATTTGGAGAGCAGGTAACTTGTTTGCTAGTTTCACAGGTCTGCAGATAGGAAAGGAATTTTGAGCCAGGACAAATCATACCCAGAGTTTCACCCACACCTGATATAAATGATTTTAGATGAGGAGGTGATGCTATTTAGATGACATTTTGGACTTTGAGTTGATGCTACAATGTAAGGCTTTATAGATCAGGGTAAGGCTCTTTGATTTTATGCCAGGTATAATGGGAATCCACAGAAGAGGACATATATTTAAAGCCCGATATACATTTAATACACATAACCCTCATTTATATTTAAAAAGATCATTGGGTTGGAAAAAAAAAAGGCTCATTGGTATGTACTAAAGGAAAGAAGAGTGGAAGTAGGGAAACCAGTTAGAAAATTATTACAGTTGTTTAGGCAAGAGAAGAGAGAAATGCAGGCTACAAGGATAACAGCAGGATGGAAAAAAGAGGATGGCTTCAAAATCTATTTTGAAGGTAGAACTGGCAGAACCAGCTAATATATTAAATAAGAAAGACAGAATGAGTGAAATAACAGTTATTCTTAAGTTCGCACTTGAGCAACTGGATAGACTGGGCTTTCTATTAACAGAGATGAGGAAGACTGAGGAAAGCACAGGCTCGTGTGAGACAATCAAGACTTGCATTTTAGACATGCCGAGTTTTTGTTTCTGGCAGACATCCAGATAGAAAGATCAAGTAAATACAGGATGGAAGAACAGGGAGCTCGAAGACAGCTTAGAGCTGGATTTATAAATTTGTGTGGCATTTAAGAGAGAACTAAATTAAAGCAAACAGAGGGAAAAGACGGAAAAGCGAAGCAAGCCCAGCATCAAACTTGGATGCATTACAGTATTTGAAGGTCTGACGGGAGAGAGAAGCTAGCAAAGGAGACAGAGAAGGAACGGCCAAACAGGTAAAAAGAAGCCGAATATGTCATCAGAGATGCCATTTTACCAGAATCTCTGATACTAATTACAATTACTCAACTTTATATAACCTTCTTATGCTCTACTCTGTCAAAAGTCCAGCTTAAAATGTAAAAGCTTTAGCTCTGAGCATTCATTTTGAAATATTTAAATACTTATGGAACATCCATCCACTATAACAGGACACTGTACTGAATGCTGAGGGCATACATAAAGATTCAGAAATTTTCCATGACATGGCTACAGTATGATTATTTTTTATAAATTTTAATCACAGATTTAAAATTCTATGAAAAGCGGAAGGAAGTGAAAAAGCTGGACTGAGAGAGAGAAAACCGGGCAAGGTATTATCTGCGAACTACTTGGATAGGAATTAAGACATCAATACAGAATAATAAGAAGAGCCATAATAAAAAGGTATGTTCGGATCATCATCTATCCCTATCTATACTATTTTCTCTGCTGTGGCTTTATGTTCCCATTGTAGCCACAAAAGACCCTCTCCTCTGCACATTGATTCTCCTACCTTCTAGCTGCCTCTCTTCTTGTCTTCTCATTTCGCCTAACCACAGCCTTAACAACTTTTGATTCCAAGTGATGTGTACAGGGTCTTCTGCTATCCCACCAAATAAATTCTGTGTTTTAAAAAGTTTTGGCGGGACAAGTTAATAACTGTAAAATTATTTAAAACATTTTTCGTAATTCCAGATTAATATACTATAGAAGATGTTTTAAAAATATTTACATAGCGGAAGAAAACAATGTATACATTTGCCCCCTCTCTCACCTGTTTTAGATAAGAAGGACAAATCAACAATGGTTATAGCATGAAAATCATAATAAAAAATTTGAGATTTTAGGAAATGGACTTCAATTTTCTCCTTTACGGTACCACAGGAAAGGTAGATTATAAACGACACTTTAATCAAGGAGGGAGATTGTTTTCAAATGTACAGCAATCATAGGTAGTGAAACATAAACTATAGTATGACCATGTTAATAATGGTCTCACAAATTCACCTAAGAAGGATCAGAAATTTTTTTCAACTCTAAAGAAGCTGAGGCTTTTCAGACCTGTTGGAGACTTACTGAAAATACGCTGGCATTTCCCTGGCATGCCAATCAGGTATCACAAATACTGACGCCGCCTCAAACCTCCTTAGGGTGACATATTAGGGAGAGAAGTGCTGCTCGCTGGCCAGACTTGGGAGGGTCAAGTCAGTTTTCAAGAGAGATGCAAGAAAAATAAAGTCTCCCAAGTTTAAAAATAGAAAAGAGTACTAAATTTATGAGGACTTCCTCCCCTGGCCTCCCCAGGTGTATCTTTTCCTTTCTTCACACCATTTCACTGTTTTCTCATTACTCGTGAATGTGGGGACTCCCAAGGTTCTCCTGATTCTTCCAAATCTAGAGAATACCTGATTCCTTACCTCCCACCTAATAACTGAATTACCTTTCCTGGGGCCACCTTGTTGAACCACCCAGTTGTCAGGTGGCTCCTTCTAAGGAAGCATAGACAGTTGTTGGTGTCAAAGGATGTTGTGGTCTTTGGACATGATCCCGATTTGAATTTCAACCAACTCCTCACATCTCTCTGATGGGGTACAGTAATAGAACAGAAGTCAATGGGAGATCAGCATGCACTCAGATTCCAGATTCTGAAAGGGAACAAAAATCAAACCCTCCATTCTTTGCCTCTTCACCATGTCTAATAACCAATATGCTAGAAACCAGGCTTTATCAGCCCAACAAAACTAAATATAAAGTAACAACTCTCAGTAACCACATAATAAACAATATGCACTTTGTGGACTTAAGTCTATAATACAAATAAGAAATATTAGTATTTATTAAATTTTATTCTTCCTAAGTCCAAATTATCTGCCGTCTTACTAAAATTTAACATATGCTGTGAAGTGTTCATTTTGTATCTAAATATCCATGCACAGCATTGACTTACCTTTTCTAATACAAATAAGTTCATGTACTCCACAGGTTCTTTCTCCACCTGTTAAAAAAATTTTGTTAGACGTTAAAAAGAGGAAATAATGTGAGTCTGACTATTACAAAGAACTGTTTTAAATTAGCTTTTACCAATGACCTCAGGAAAAAGTTTCCTAATTTTCCTTAAACTCAACTATATAACTTGATATCCAGAATTTTCCTGAACCCATAAACTAAGATCTTATAAAGTCTTGGAATGAAGAGGCTTCACTTAAGCATGTTATTTTTAAACGGCAATCTTCTCAAGAGCTGATATCATATCACCATTTCCTAAGTACCTCTTCACATCATCTAGAAGGAAACATTGTAGGAGAGAAGCCTCTTTTGTATCTGAGGTTAAATATATACAGGTAAGTTACTATGGAAGGGTCAACCCTGTAAAGGCCCTATTTATATTTTATCACATATATACTCATATGGTATAAAATGAAATGCAATCTTTTCCCTGTTCTTCAGCTACCCACTCTTATAAATCTGTAAAAAGACAAATTTTATAAATAGATAGTATGATAAAAACAAATTTAACCAAAAGCTTACTTTGATTATAAAAATTACTCTATCATAAAATATTTAAAAAGTAAAGTAGTATTACTAGTCTCTACAGAAATAGGGATTTCCTTCACTCTGAAACATAATGCCAATGCTTTATATGAATGTAAGCTAAATGAAACTTTGTAGTGTTCTATATATGCATGACCTTATAATTATGCTGTGAATTATGTTTAAACTTTGCGTAATAGAAATATTAAATAATTTAACCTTAGCTCATTACAGAAGATTATGAACAGTTATGAATAGTTAAGTGTATTTCTTATAACAGTTACAAAAAATAGAAATACCTTACAGCAGTAACATGAGAGGTAAAAACCATGATATCCACTAAAAAAAGTAGGTCATCTGAGAAGTAAGCTAAAAAACTATAAAACAGTATTTCTATCGCTAAAGTAGGTTAGAGCTATATTCCAACTTGGTTGTAACAATGCCAGGTTTATGATTATTATCAACACTACAGACTAATCACTGGTTATCAGGAAGACAGACTTAGCAAGAAGAAATACCTAATTTAAAGCGATGATTATGAAACAACCATTATTCAGCAAATCTCAGTGTAAATACAGTGAGACCTTACTAACTGGAATATTACCAGTGGGCTACCACTGATCACTTGCTGAAGGGCAAGAATGAGCTACAACTATATACTACATAGCTTTAATACTGAGAAGACCCTATGCAAAAACTAGAAGGAGAAAATTTACCAAATCACAGAAGAAACTATTTTCAAGAAATTTGGAAGAATCATATAATTAACAATAACGTAACTATAACATACACTAATGCCATCACTGATGTTTTCACATAAAAATATTTCTTATATGGTCATTAAGGCCTATTCTCCAGAAGAAAACACTTGTAGCGTAGTTTGCCTTATGTATTTAATTCATGTTAATAAGACTGTACTTTTTAAAGCCCGTAATTAAAACTAGACTTCCCCCTTATTTAATGTAAATTGGTTAGGTTTTGGTATACACAACTAAGCTTAAATATAAATGCATAGTTTGTACAGGCTCAGTATTAACTATTATATAAGACTATTATATATATTGTATAATATATATAAACTTATATAAAAACTATTACATAAGACTTTTCTCAAAACTACAAAATGACCATGAAAGCTAACTCCCACTTTTAAAAGTATTTGATTTATCTATATCAAATGAAAGAACTTCATAAATAAAAAGCTAAGTCAAATAATTACTGTATTTTAAATTTATAGAGTCAATTGATAATTGTCAAATTGGTCAAAGTATGCACAAAAATCACATAACTAGGAAAAAATATATTTTTTTATATTAATTTACAAATAATAATATACAAATAATAATTAACAAAATATTAATTTTGTTACCAAAATTCTAACCAAGTGAGATTTCAATGATGTACATGTAGAAATCAAGAACAATCACTATTATTACTGAAATGGAAAGGAATATTAAGGATAAACAAATGTCAGTCAATAAAGTAAAATTTAGAAAAAAAAAAAACCTTCCTTTTAAAAGTACAAAAGAAACACAGAAAGTTAAATAAACTTTATTATATTATTGGACAATGAAATCAATATTCCTTTTGTCCCCAATCCTTTCAGAGACCAGTAAGAGTGTTAAGGAAAAAAAATATGCATTCTATACGTTAAATGTATAGGTTTTTAATGAATACGTTTGGGAGTCAAAAGGCTTAAATACTTTTTCAATCAGAGATACAGTGAACTTTGTACAAACTTCATGCCTTGTTTTAAAATCTCTAAAAATAAATCTGAAAAGTTTCCAAATGAATCAAATTTGTAAGCAAAAGGCAAGTCACTGAAGGCATATCTTGACTTAGATATGGTGGCAATTCAAAAAATGGTTTACTGATTTTAAGAGCATAATGCAGAAGAGGAATGATTTTTTTTAATTTCAGCTTTACTGAGGTATAGCTGAACATATAAATTATAAGATACTTAAAGTGAACATCGTGATGGTTTGATATATGTATATAACAAATATGCATATCAAATGCATAGAAGAATGATTTTTGATTATTTTTATTGAGCTATAACTGACATAGAACACTGTGTAAGTTTAAGGTGTACATGTTGATTTGATATTTATATATCACGATACAATTACCACCATAGCCTTAGCTAACACCTCTACCACATCACATAATTATCACTTCCTGTCTGTGGTAGTCACAATTAAGATCCAGTCTCTTAGCAACTTTTAAGTTTATAACACAGAATTGCTGTCTATAACCACTATACTCTGCATTAGATCTCCAGGACTTATTTATCTATTGGTTCCAAGTTTTTACCCTTAAACAACATCTCCCCAATTCCCCCACATCCCCCCCACCCTGGTAATCACCATTCCACTGTTTTTACAAGTTCAGCTTTTTTTAGATTCCACATTTAAGTGATACCATACACTATTTGTCACTCGTGTCTGACTTATTTCACTTAGCATAATGCCCTCAAGGTCCATCCATGTTGTCACAAATGGCAGGACTTCCTTCTTTTTAGGGCTGAATAATATTCCATTGTATATACATATGCCACCTTTCTATCCATTCTTCCGCTGATGGACACTTAGGTTGTTTCCATATCTTGGCTATTGTGAATAATGCTGCAATAAACATGGAAACACAGATATCTCTTCAATATATTATTTTCATTTCCTTTAGATATATACCCAGCTGTAGGATTGCTGGATCTTAGGACAGTTCTATATTTAGAAACCACCATACTGTTTTAGAGACTACCATACTGTTTTAGAAACCACCATACTGTTTTCCACAGCTGAGCCAATTTGGGGGAATGATTATTTAAAGTAATAAATTAGTCAATCTCTTTAGAAAGAAAGAAGTCTTCTACTAAAATGAATAATCATCCCCAAAATGAACTTATACAATTTTTCACACATCAAATTTACTGCAAATACATTAACAATAATGAAGACTTAGAGACCAGAAGAGAATGACAGAATATAAAAAGTGACCAGAAGTCAGAAATAAAGTTGTCTAGCTCATTACAAATAAACAAACTGAGGCACTAAACATTAAGTTGCCCAGGGTCACTAGTTTATTGTCAGAAAAAATAATTGGGACCCTAGGGTTAATATAGTAAGGAATTTAAAAATGGACTGTTCTTCATTTTTATGAAAAAAATAAAAATTATGAAATTGTTTTCTAATCCTTTAAGGTAATTTAAATAAAAGTCAGTATCTCAAAACTATTCTTAGAGATAATACCAGCATTGCTCTTGAAATAATCATCTCAGCAACATGAAAATGAGAAATAGAAAATGACAAGCTTAGTCAAAGTTACCATCTTTCCCCTCAGGCAAACCCATGTAGGAGCATAATGTAAACTGGCAGAATCCTCTACAATTGGTGTAAGTACATAGTTTAAGAGGAAATAGATGTGTGTGGGCACACACAGACATGCTATGAATGTGTGTATTTGTGTATGGATGCACATGACTGAGAGTGTACCTGGGAAATGGGAATTTCTTTTTAAGCAGGGGTGGGAGGGGTAGGGGAATGGTAGGGATTTATAAAGTATGTACTTTTCCACACGCCTACAGAAGGAAAATGCGCAGTGATGTCATATTCCCATCAAAATATGCCCAGGTATACAAAAATGGAATTAAACCTAAAGATTTAGTTCATTTAAAATGGATCTAGGAGTCCTTTTCAAAATTGGACTTTATTTTTTCTACCATGTTAATTTTGACCAATAAACTAAGTCACTACAATTTACAGGATCTATTAATTTCTTCTCAAACACCACAAGGCTACTTTAGAAATATCTTAAATTTGGGGCACCCGGGTGGCTCAGTGGGTTAAGCATCCGACTCTTGATTTCGGCTCAGGTCATGATCTCAGGGCTGTGGGATCAAGTCCTGCTTCAGGCTCCTAGCTCAGTGGGGAGTCTGTTTCCCTCAGTCTGTCTGTCTCTCTTTCTTCCCCCACCCACCTCCCCACTCACACTCTCTCTTTAAAAAAATAAATAAATCTTAAAAAAAAACCTTAAATTCTACCTTATCTAAAGATGTCACCAAAACATATGCATTAGTCAAAAATTAAATTGTGTCACTTAGCCTGATAAACTGTTACAGCTAATTCTTAAGCAGACACATATGCTATACATAATAAGCATGAAACATCAAATATTTCCTATTAATGCTGCCAACTACCCCCACCCAACCAATTTAGCCCATTTAGACCAGTCACTAATCTCTAGATACCTTTCAGTTTTGACCCTAATTAAGTCATTCAAGGAAGGATCCCAATTTTGGTGCCTAACTGAAAGCAGAGTGTTATGGAAAGATCATGGTTTCTGAACTGAGCCAGTCTTCAATTTTTTTAAAGATTTTATTTATTTATTTGAGAGAGACAGCGTGCGCATCAGCGAGAGTAGGGGCAGAGGGAGAGGGACAAGCAGACTCCCTGCTGATCAGGACCC